CGTGAAAGGACTCAGAAGCCTGCCATATGAGGGAAGGCTGAGAGAACTGGGTTTGTTCGGCCTTGAGAAAAGGTGACTTAGGGGTGACCTCATTGTCATGTTCCAGTACCTGAAGGGTGTCTACAAAGAAGATGGAAAAGACAAAGGGTAATGGGTGCAAGTTACTCCTGGGGAGATTCCAATTGGACACTAGAGGAAAATTTTACACACTGAGAACAATCAGCCATCAGAATAACCTCCCCAGGGAAGCAGTGGATTCCCCAACATTGGACACTTGTAAGATTCAGCTGTAGAGCATGCTGGGCCATCTTGTCTAGACCATGCTTTTGCCTAGAGGTTGGACCAGATAATCGTTGAGGTCCCTTCCAACCTGGTCTTCTATGATTCACCCCACAGGAATTGTACTTCAAGCTCCCCATTTTCGGCCAAAATACACTGACCACTGACCTATTAGAGAAAGGAAAAAAAAAGAAAGGAAAAAACCCCAAACATATACCACAACTAGGTTTTGTTTGCTTTAAAGCAGATCATAAGACAGTCATAATTTGGATGCAAAATCCTTGGCTTTGCGGTATGCCCAAGATTGTACTCCTACAGCATCCTGATGTGGTGGGCACCACCCTCTGGATTTTAATAGCGTTCAGGCACCAACTATTCATAAAGTTCAGCATGATCAAAACTAAATTAGCTTTGGTAGTGCAATGTTGCAACTCATAATAATCTCCCTACATGCATTACAGTGTATGCTTTGGTCTTGAGAGATTAAAGCAAGATACAAGCAAGGTTGTCGGCACTATGATTTTGAATTACTAACTTTCCATCAAAGTTTATCAGTGGAATTTTATTAGATTAATACAAATTAGACTTCAGTCTAACCCAAAGTGTGTAAGTTAACTTTAAATATCTCACCTAGACTTCTTCCACCAAAAAAACCTTCTCTCAGTCCATTTCAGCAAACTAAAACACGCAAACAAAACCAAGCTCACTCTCAGTCAAATTCCCTTTTATTTCACAGATGTTAACTGCTAACAAAGCTAAACAAATCTGAAGTTCAGATTGAGTCACTGAAACTTGTTCGAAAGACTTGAAGGAATGGACTTTACGCAAATTTTTGTCACTTCAACCCTTATTTTCTCTGCTTTGAATTAAAAGATGTAGTGAAAACACATTTTCACATTTTAAATGGTTTGACATCATTTTAACATTTTTAAGCTATACATCCTCTGCATGAAAACCAATAAATATGTTAGTGTGAAAACAGACTAGAAAACCTTATTAAATATCATTAATGAGAAACTTTTTTTCATATGTAGATGGTTCTCATCAGTGACCCACTTGGTAAATTTTCTCAGATTACCACATTCTGCACAGACTACACAGCATTCTTGGATTCAGTCCAGATTTAAAGAGAACTAATTAACTCCTTTTATGAAAAAAGCCAGTTTTAAACACACCTAGCTGAAAATAGAAAGCAGCCTTAGGAGTTAAATGTTTTTTATGCAGCTGAATTGAGACATACCAGAAGTAAAGTAAGTTCAGTGCTGAAGAGCATTTTAAAACATCCTAGTGATTACACAGGAAGCTGGATGTAGTCACTATGAAGCTTTCGATCCAACTGTATCTTTGGAAAAGTCAGATTTAATATCACATTTGTTCACAATTTTTAAATATATTTGGTAACTGCTGGAACACAGATCCTGCTTATTGCTTTGAAACACACATTACTTGTCTAGAGTTTTTAGTAGCCAAAATTAAGATCAAATAGAGGACAGTAGGAACAAAGGCACATGATTATTTTATAAAAGTATTTACAGGGTACTCAAACATTTATTTATATCTACTAGAAACTCATTCATCTTGGATAGAAAAAGAAAGGACTACTGAAACATGTTGAAGGAGATCCTCCTAAACAGATGTTTTCAAGCAATATGAGCAGAGAATCTTATACACCATTAAATTATTTCCAGAATTAAACATCTCACTTTGAATATGGAATTTCCAAATATTAAACTTCATATATTTATTATTCTTCTAAGCACTGTGATACTTTAGTGCAACTCTCTTCAAAGATTGAAGCTGGTGCAGTTAAGGCAGTCTACTAACAGTATTTTAAAATTCAGCACACAGTGATTAATCATTGAGGTGCCTGGCGGTTCTCTGTTCGGAGAGCTGTCTTTTGAAACCTTCATCTATACTGCCATCCTTCCAGCTGATGCAAACACAGCATGTTTAAACACCACGGTTCTCAAAGTGGTTTAGGTTATTTCGGAGGTGGGAAGGGTGAAGGAGTCTAACATCAAGCGATTAGCTCTATAAACAACTCTGCAGGATGGTTAACATCCACAAGTTGATGTGTAGCTTAACTGTACGCTGCGCTAACCTTTTTAGAAGTATCCGGTTGGCAGCCTATAAGAATATCCATTACATTAAACCTATAAGCACTCTATAAATCCTGGTACTGCATTCTGCACTCCAGTGATAGTGCTTTAACATAGTCTGTTGCCAAAAGCAAACTAATTTTCCTAGGGTGGTTTGGTGGGGTTTTTTTTGGGAGGTTGTGTTTTTTTGGTTTGTTTTTTTTTTCCTTCTTCCCACGGAAGTTCATTGATGCACAAGTTCAAAATAAAAAAAAACCCTCCCTGAACAAATCAGCCAAACTTTTTAAGAGGACTTCATCTCATTCTGATTTCTTTCCTGCGGATTTGAACTAGTCATTTTGAAACTATTATCCTCAACTATGGCAATAGTATGGAAATGGTTGCCATTAATAAGGCTATGACTTATTATCAGGTGACTAGTGCTGCCTATCTACAGCTGAGAGGTGGGGGCACCAGAACTGGCCATTCTTGAAGCATTATAAAATTCCACAGAAGAAAGAAATAAAAAAATAACTGCATAGTATGTGATCCCTTTTATTCACCAAAGCTGTCCACGTATATCCCAGGTGGAAGATAGCTCAGCCTTCAGAAGTAGGCACTTGCTGTAACATCTCTCCTTCTTGCTTGTTGTCACGTCTCTTCAAAGGACAATTACAAAAGTGGGAAGGAAAAAATAAGAGAAAATAGAATAGCATTTTCAGACAGATCAATATTCCTCAAATTTTTCATGTGAAATATTAAAGTAAATTTATTTACGATGAAAGTCATCAGAAGACCATTCTCCTGGATTTAAAATATTTTGTTTTTTTCTTTGGAAAAAAGAAAAAAAAAGAAAACCAATGCACATTACTAAAACCACAGATGCTGTGGCTTTCCTGTCTATCCCCCTCTCCATACATATGTCCAACACAGCCAGTTCAAAAAAGTCTAATCACTATCTAAATTAACAGGGTTGTAGTCAGGGTCATCCTCTTCATCCTCCAACTCTAAATCATCCATTTCTTGGAATAAAGATTCATCAACCTCCACGCTGTTTCCAGCTGCAAAGAACAGAAAAATAATTTATTTTCATGCATGTAGGAAAACAGTACCTGAACAACAAAATACACAACACTTTCATATTCATTTTTCAATGTAGGTAGCTGTTAACTTACTTGGCTTTTTATATATCAAATAGGTATGGAAAAGGAAATGAAAGGTTTTATCTTTGTACAGCTAAAGTGAAGCTTTTTTTCCTCCTACCAAAACCCAGTCATGAGAAATGTCCCACAGGACCTCAGAATCCATTGGAAGAATGAAATTAACATTTATAGTTCCCAGGCGCAGAGATCCCTTCTCCCAGGTACTGTCAAAGTAGGAGCTCAGGACCTCACAGCTGGAATAGTTAAAACTATCACAGCCACAGAAACACAGAGGGTTTATAAAAAAAACCTCTTATCATTTATATGCCTACATACATACATTTGTTTTCAGATTTAAATTTTAAAATCAAGATAAAGCTTTGCATGCTTTCACATTTTCTTCTGAAAGAGATGATGCTGCCCTAAGGATAAGGCTTGAGGACTATTTCTATTTTATTTCTGTGCATCAACAGTGACATCTTCCGGCCACCCAATAAGGTTCTGGCCTTTCTCTGGATTTGAAAGAGCCTCTATAACAAGTTTCCATCTAAAAGATAAAGCCATCATCCCGTTTAAGCTGTAAAAATTAGTATTACCTATCACACAGTAATGTAATATTAAATTGCAGTCAGTAACCTGTTGCATTAATGATAGAATGCAAACAGCAATAAAAACAAGAGTTTTTAATCACCGATAGCAACAGGACTAAAAGTTAATACATTAATCCCAAGTCATTTGGGCATAGAGCCCAAATACAGAAGTCCATTCCTCCCTTGAGACAGCCAAATGTCCTATCAACAACTCATCTTCACTTCAGGCATTTTGGAGGAAGAGGAAGACGAGGTTATACTATGCCCTCTAAAAGAAACTCAACTCCCCCATGACTGCCATTTTGAGTACATACTCACTGATGTTCATAAACAACGTTTTTTTTTAAATTGTTACTTGCAGAGAAAATTCTGGACTCTTCTGCATGTATGTTTTGCCATACAGTAGGTAATGCAGCTACATTAAAGAATTGCTTTAACTCAAAATCAGTCTTTTAAACTAGGATACTAGTACAGAAAATTAAATAGATATATGACTGTGAGTAGATTTGATTTATCTCCAGCAGATTTTCCAAGTTTAACATCTTTTGGCACATGTTTACGAAATTTTCAGCTGGCATCAAGTTATTTTTTCCAGTGAGATAATAGACAAACCTGCATAAAACCACAAAGAAGAACTGGGTGGCACAGAAGTAAATAGGATTTAATTTGACCTGCAAGATCATGGAATCACAGAACAGTTTGGGTTGGAAGGAACCTTTAAAGGCCATTTAGTCCAACCCCCCTGCAATGAGCAGGGACATCTTCAACTAGATCAAGTTGCTCAGAGCCCCATCCAACCTGACCTTGAATCTTTCCAGGAATGGGGCACCTACCACCTCTTTGGGCACCCTGTTCCACTGTTTCACCTCCCTCAATGTAAAAAATTTCTTCCTAAATCTACTCTCATTTAGTTTAAAACCATTACCCCATGTCCCCTAGGGCAACAGGCCCTACTAAAAAGTTTGCCCCCATCTTTCTTATAAGCCCCCTTTAGATACTGGAAGGTTGTTAGAAGGTCTCCCTGGAGCCTTCCCTTCCCCAGGCTGAACAATCCCAACTCTCTCAGCCTGTCCTCAGAGGAGAGGTGCTCCAGCCTCTCTCCAGATCATCTTTGTGGCCCTCTTCTGAACTCTCTCCAACAGCTCCATGTCCTTCTTGTACTGGGGCCCCCAGAGCTGGACGCAGTACTCCAGGTGGGGTCTCACCAGAGCGGAGTAGAGGGGCAGGATCACCTCCCTCGACCTGCTGGTCACACTTCTTTTGATGCAGCCCAGGACACAGTTGGCTTTCTGGGCTGCAAGCGCACACTGCCGGCTCATGTTGAGCT